CGCGCCCGCCGCGCACATCCGGGCCCGCCCCCGCGCGCGGCCAATCCGCGACGCCGCCGAGCGCTCCGGCCAATGGGGAGCCCAGGAGGGGCCGGTTGCCTCGGCAACCGCGGAGCTGCTTGGCCATTCACAGCGCAGCTTCTTGGCGGAGCCGTTCGAGCTCAGCCAAACGGGGAGGGCGCGCGGGAGCTCTGGCGCCGCCATTTTGCAGGGGGGCGGCCTGGCCCAGGGCGCTTTTTCCTGCCCGCTGCTGGAGGCCGCTGCCTCCACGGGGAGAGGAACGCGCATTCCCTGAATGCTGGTCTCTGCTGCCGCACGTTGGCTGGTTATAGTAGCCTCTATGCCCCGCCTGCCAGCAAAAAGCGGATTTTTAAAGTTCACTTGTTCTGGTGCCTTTTGCATTCGGTTAAAACTGATGAGTTTGTAATGGGCTTTGCATCGTCCTGGTTTTAAAATTGTGGTCATCTCTTGAAATACCTTACTGCAAGGGAAAGTGACCCTGTTGCAATAATCTGCATTTGCAGGATCTTAGAATTTTCTAATAACCAAAATACATTATTATAATTCCCCTGCTCTAAAAACCTCTCAATTGTTTTTTTATGCTGTCCACCAATAGTTGTGAACATTTGTTGAAGAGAAAAAAGTGTTAAAATGCCAGTTAATCAATTTGGGTATTCGTCATTGCTGGGTTTTACAATTAATAACTCTAAGTGAGGTCAGAGAGTTTTGATATTTGCTGGGCGCTGACAGGTGAAAAAATCGTTGCACTACATATAGAACAAGATTATAATTTCATTTAAGTATTGCTGGAGTGGAAAAGAACCCAAATATCTCAAATAATGCTACTCAAATAATGCATCAGCAGTTACGGAGCAAGGTTCTGGAAGAAAACCAAAGCTCTCCAGTGCACAGCACATAACTTTGTAGCAACTTCTGAAGCAGAAGCTAAAGCCAAGGCATATGTTGTGCCTTAAAAGACGGAAAAGACAGTGCAGCAGTACACGCTAGCTAAATGCAGAAAAATGTCACTGGGAGAACATCTGACAAATATTCTGACAGCTGGTTTGGAAATAAAATACTAAAAATGAGAAAGTATTAGCTTTAATATTCTCTGCAACAAGGGTCCCAATAAATTCCAGAAACAGCCTCAGAAAGGCTTTTAGCAGGATCTAATTAGTTAAGTAGCAGATGATTTATTGAAGGCTAGTGGGAAAACCTGTCACTATTTTTTTCAGGCCACTTACAACAGGCTTCAGCGCTGATTCCCAGTGTCTGGTGTGCAGGAATAAAGAAGTCAGGGATGGCTGAGGTGCCCGCTGAGGCGAGGATCCTTGTGCAGTTTCTCCTCGAGAGCAAGGTATTTCTGTGGTGCCATCAGTTTTTCCCTAAAACAAGAAGGGGAGAATGTCAGATAAAACCAGCGCAGGGAGTAGGATAGAATATTTGCCAGAATACCCTCAGGGCTGAGTTTCTGGGAGCGCTGACTTGTAGATCCCCCATGCAACCCTGGACCTTGTATTTGATCAGTTGCTCTTTCCCGTTACCTCTTGAGCCTTAATGCCAGGACCCGGATACGGAACATGGTTTCAGAGCAGTAGGCCAGGAAGTCGGTTTCGTCCTCCATGCTGAGCTGATTCTGGTTTTCCTGATACCACCGATCCTTCTTCTGCAGCTCCTCCACCTCCTGGGGGGCAGTGAGAATTTCATAGAATTTCATAGAATGCTTAAGGGACCTCTAGAGATCATCCAGTCCAACCCCCTGCACACGCAGGGTCACCTAGAGCACGTGGCACAGGGCTGCGTCCAAGCGGGTTTGGAAGATCTCCAGAGAAGGAGACTCCACACCCTCTCTGGGCAGCCTGTTCCAGTGCTCTGGCACCCTCACTGGTAAGAAATTTTTCCTTAAGTTCCTGTGGAACTTTTGATGCTTTAGTTTTTGGCCGTTTCCTCTGGTTCTATCAGTGGCCACCAATGAAAAGAGTCCAGCACCACTGAAAAGAGGCCAGCACCCATCCTCCTCATCCTCCTGAGCAACAAGAAGTCAGGGCAACAGCGAGGAGCAAAGTTGCACAAAGGAGCAACTCAAAGTGCAGGAAGCCAAGCGTGAAGGGAACCATAAATGAGAGTCGTCTTATTTTCCAAACAGGGACCAAATTTGCCCCTAGGGCTATTCCGTGATTTGATTTCACTTTCTAAAGACAGAAAACTACAGAGGCATGTTTATGGCTTTCTTAACATAATCAAAGGAGTTCTGTTTCTTGCTTTCTTTCATAATGAAGCAGTGTGACCCTCCTGCCCGAGCCAAAGAGACGCCAGAAACACGCGCATCCCAGCGGGAGCCTGGGGATACCTTCTGCAAGTGAGCGTGGATGATGTTGGCCTTATGAGTGAGACGTTGCTTAAAATCAGTCAAGCAGTCTTCTTTGATGCGCAGGGCCTGCCACTTGCTCATTTTCTCCACGTTGCCAACTTGAAGTAGAAAAGGTGCCAGGTAATCCAGCTCCTGCTCCTCTTGTCCCAAGAGGTCGTCCTCCATTAAATTGTCCTGGAGGGGAAGGAGTGAAAAGTGTCATGATCCCATTTACTTGTGTCCCCAACATCCTGTGATAAAGTAAAATAAAAGCAAAGGCCAAAAAACTTATATCCCCCTATGGAAAAAATGTTTCTTTTTCTTACAGTCTGACCAAAACTAGTGCTTTTCATTAGCTCTATCATATTAACAATTTCCCAACATGTTTTTCTGTAGTTTACTTTCTACTGTATTTTTTAACATCTCTTCTGTTTTCCTTCATTGTAAAGATGTTTCTTGCACAGGAAGTATTATCCATGGAGATGTGAGAAGGGCTTCACAAATGCAGCAGCATTGGGAAGCAAAGGGATAGGACAAGATAGTTTGAGTGATATTGACCTGGAGGCTGGCAAATAGCTGCTTCTTGAATCTTTCCCTCTATTTTTGTTTCATGTCAGATGTATTTGTCATGTAAAACCTATTATTGCCTTTTATAGATTCTCTTCTGAAGAGAGCTCTGTCCAAAATCATTTAAAAGAAACATTTTGGAGACCTTGAAAAATTGCAAATAATCATTCTGGAATCCTACCTGGGAAAAAAAAGTCCATTTTATGCAAGTAATAAGGAAATCAAGATAACATAAGCTATAGTGGATTAAAGCTGTTAAATGAAGAAGCGTGCATTTCCATAACAAAATGAACTCTGCTTATAAAGATGCAGCTTGGATTTGATTATCACAGTCCTCCCATAATCCCTATAATTAACCAAACCAAGATAATTATTTTCCCTTTTTTTTTTAATATATTAACTAATAAAATAAACTTCTTATTTTTCCTCTGTATTGTGTTTTTTTCCAGAAAGCTGGAAGGTGAGAGCATGACCATGTTAAATTTTCACAGAATGTCAATTGAAGCTGTGCTGCCTTTACACCTGCTGGGATTTGGCACATTATGTTTTAATAATATGAGAAGCTTTTAGAGAGAATTCCTTAGAAAGAAAAGCTTACTCTGGGTCTCTTCATGCACATGTAATAAATACTGGGTTCTATGACCTCTACTTACCATAGCTTCATACTCTTGTCTTCTCTTTTCATTCTGCTCCGTATCATAAATTGAAACTGTCAGTTTGATGTCTGCTTCTTCATCCTCACGGATCTTTAAAATTTCTAGCACCTGGCCCAAAAATCAGGAAAAAAAGACACCTTAGTTTTCTCATTAAATGACAATACTCCTACATACTTGACTTGCTGTCAGACCAGGTGCCATGTACAAGAGCTATATCTCTCTTTATACATATAGTTCATCTATATATATGTGTGTGTGTGTGTATATATAAATATATATATATATGGAAGACCAAATACATTTAAAGACCTGTATTAATATGTTCATATTCTGCTGATAGATCAATCTGATAATGGTCTTTATTTTTAAAGCTACTCTATATGACATTTTAAATACCGTTGTTGATATTGCTCATTAGTAAAGCTCTTCTGGAGTCAGAATCTTGCCGTTGGTTTGGAAATTGCACTGCCAGCTTTGGCTTATTTCTTTGTCCCATTAGGATGTGCAGTACAAGCAATGTGAACCTTTAGTTTGTTAACACATTAAGACTGAGAAACTGGGTAAGATAGTTTGGGTAGGCATAGAATGGATATGTTTATTGTGAAGTAACTACAACACATGCTGAAAAATATGGATTTGTTACATAGGTCACTGTGTCATTAACAGTGCAAGAAAAAAAAATCACTTCAACATTATGGTTATTCTACCTAGAAGTGCCTAACAACTAGATTTATATTAGATACAACATCTTCAGCTATCGCTCCTCTTTGGTCTCATTCCTAGACAAAAGGCGATGAATTTCTAGCTGCTCCCACTCCTAGGGTGTTAGTTGCTTTCTGAAACTGTCTCCCTACCTGAGAATGAAGAATAAGAGCCCAATTTGGAAAGTGATTCCCCATAAAGATATTAAAGATATATCTACCAAATGAGTTGGTTGCAAGCTTTTAATTCAGCATGCAGGGCAGCCTGTGACACTAGAATTTTTTTCACAGTTTATGCTGGGAATGCTTGAAGACCACTGAGCTGAAACTGTTTCCACCCTGAGTTTGACAGCTAGATGGAGAAAAACACATTACCTCGGTTGCAGATTCCCAGATTTCGTGCTTCAGCTGCTTCTCTTCCTCCATTAGCTTCCGCAGCAGCTTGTACAGATGGAGCAGCTTTGTGTCCGTCTCAGAGCACCCTGCCTGCAAGGAGAGAGGCCAGTGAAAGACCCCCTGGATACACAGGACCGAGGACTCCAATAATACAAATTAGCATCGTTCTGCTACAGACAGGGTAGTGACACTGATTTACGCCACTGAAGCAGCTAAGCCAGGGTCAGTTAATTGGGCTTCACCTCGAGTTTGAATCCATCAGTAATGCCAACCAGGTTGTGCATCTCGCACTTCTTTGCTGGTGCTGCTGTCATTTGCCTGGAACTGGTTTTATGGCGTTAGACAGCACCCTAACAATTGCATTCTGCGTAGTCTCCCCAGTGGGAAATACAAACATTAAAAATTACTTGCATAATATATAAATCCTATACAATATAACTAAGAAAAACCCTGTACTTGCAATCTCTCTTTGATTTTCCTGAGCAGAACTGTGCAGCATCAGTGCAGAATTTACAGGTAAACTTGGGTTCCTCGTTACTGAGTTACATCAATTATATCAGGGATGCTAGTGGAATGACCTCCTTCCAAGACAGTACGCTACTCGCTTGGAATATCTTTTGTTTCAGGCTTTCTATTTATCAGCAATGCATTAAGCCTCAGCATCTTGCCTGTATCTGCTGGGTAAATCGTGACAGATTTAAGCAAAATTGTAACACCAGAAGAAGACACAAGGAGCAAGTTCTTGTTTGAGAAAAGCAAAGGAAACTCCAGCTTCGCTACAATGAACCAGCAGGACCGAACCCAACGGCTGCTGAAACAGCATCTTGCACAAATGCAGGGACTGTGTGTACCCTGCCTGAAGACCAAGCCTGGAAAGGTGACCTCAGCCTTTCAAAGCCTAATCGCCTCCAGCAGGTTCCTGCAGCCCTGAAGGGCTTCACCTTCTCAGCCAAGAGGCTGTCTGGGAAGCAGGTGCAGGATAGTTGGAGGGTGGCGTGTGGTGTGTGCCATGTCCTTTCCTTGTCATCTCACCTTCTGTTCGTGTCCTTGCACTCTTAAAAAAAAAAATGCTTCAAGCAACAGTCGTTTTCCTCTGTACCTGGTATGTGATGCACATTTCTGGGGTCATGATGATTTCGTTTCCTTTCCTATCCCTCTCTGCCCCTTTATGGAAGTTCTTCTTTGAGGCAGTGATGTACTTATCCTTGAGGTGATACGTCAGATTGATTCTCTCCTCTGCGATCAGAAAAACGCGTTCTGCCACGTCTTCATCAGCAGGCTTTTCTGGGTTTCTGTGGAAACACTCCTGGATTTGCTAATGAGGGGTGAAAAGGAAGATAGCAGCCAGTTAGACAACAGACACAAAATACAAGGCTTATAGATAACTGGGTCTTAAAAAAAAAAAAAAAAAAAACAAGGTGAAAACTGAGCCTTTCTGTCCGGACTGCAATGGCATCTCTCAAGGGCTTGGCCCATGACCGTATTATTCTTTTCTGTGTGTCAGCCACACTGTCACGTGCCAGGTGCCCTCCTGCTCCCAAATCAGATCTGACTAGAAGGAGAGGCAGATAACCAGCTTGTAACAACTAACTGCCTGCAGTCAGAACGATGGTGATAGATGGGGAATTTTGCCAGGAATACGAAGTGTTACTAGGTTGGGGTCCAAACATGAAATAATTCGACTAATTTTGAGTCTTGTGAACATTTGGATGGAAAAATCATAGCCAGTTTAGGGGGGTTCTTTTTAATTTTCTTTCCTTTGTGCGCCCCTTCCCACCCCCGACTCGATTTCCCAATCTCATTTTCCTAGTTTCAGTTTAGCCTCTTCAGTGCAACTTGTGATGACTGGGGATGCTGTGGCTCTCTATTAGACAAGCAACGGCAAGACACAGCAACTGAACGAAGCCTGGACATCTCATCTAAGCTTTTGCCTTGGCTAGGCTCAGTGAAAATGAATCCAAAGCATTCAACAATACGTTTGGCAAAGTCTAAATGTCACAGCGGTGATTCTTTTTCCACTCCCGTCTTGGCCTTACCACTATAGGCCGAGAGCTGATGTCAGTTCTGGTGCCGGCTATCTGTATTTTCTTTACTCTTTTGCCAAACTCCACGTGCCGCAAGTACAGGAAGTCGTCCCGCCCTTCGAAGTAGTCAGTCATCTCATGGGCATTTTCAACGTGTTTCTGGAGGCCGTCAACTCGCGCCTCGTTGTAAAACTCCATCGTTCGCTCAGTCTCCGGCTCCATGGACGTGTAGATGTGCGCTAGGGCAGAGGAGAGACTGCAGACGCTTCCCAGTTGGTAATAATAACGCTGGTGAACCCAAGTTTGTCAAGAGGAAGTCTCATTTTCTTGACAAGCCAGTAAATCACACGGCTAATTATCTAGTGCATATAAATGTCTGAGGAGGGAATGCTGTCTCCTCATGGCTCCGTGGTAATATGTCATGGCCTGAGGATGGGAGAACGCCTTTGCTGGAACATTGCCTTCCCTACCAACAATGGTTAGGTAGCACTGAATGAAGTCTGGACTCTTATTTCAAAACCAGGGACCAGCACAACCCCCTGTCTGGAAAGGCTGCTTTAGCAATAGATGTGATACAGGACTTTCCCTCCCCCAGCTGCACAATGCTGAGAGAGAGAACATGATGCTGAATATATCTTAATAGGGATATTCTCTCTTAGTGTGGGAAAAAAGGGATTTTTGCTGTTATGCTGGAGGGGGAGGCTCCCCCAGATTGGGAGAGCACCAGCTGAACTCGCTGCTCTCCTTTGGAGGCCTCACTGTTATTAATCTAGGCAGTTCATCCCAGAGTTTTGCAGTACCCCATGGCCACTTGGGCCTTTGCCCGTGGCAGGAGGGATTCACATGAGGTCCCATCAGCTGCAGTTGCCTTGGCTGTCCGGGTGAGCTGAAATACCTTTAAGACCTAGGAGGTGTCCTGGGCGGAAGTGCTCCGTGGTCAGCTGTGTTTGTCTGTTCACTTCTCTCCTCTCCAGCTTGTCTTCCCGGTTTTTGAACCACTCCCTCACCTCCACTACTTTGGAATCTGGCAGGAAACAAACCATTTTACAGTCTTACATCAGCCTGTCGGAGTAGGATTCCATCCCACCATCCAGGAGCAAGCACCCTATGCTCTTCATATAGCCAGGGGAGACAAGGCAGTCACTGGAATCGTCCTGGTGCACAGGGGCTTTTGTAAATGAATCCTAGGATACGTTTGATTAGATGAATCATATCTTAATAGGCCTATTCTTCTCTGTCATCAAGAACTAGAGTGATTAGCTCAAAGGAGAAAGGCAGCATTGCAGATGTCTAAGGTTAGATGAGATAATTTCTGTCCCAGATGCTTTATGAGAGGATCAGGAGAGAAGGGGAATGAGACGGGGGTCTGGCTCTGCCCAACGGGGCTAGAGGCAGGAGTTTGTATGTCCCGTTAGGAATCTACATGGTTTCCTGGTCCAACTGTCTACAAAGAATGCTTTGGAGTACAGAAATACCCTTATTTACCCATACTACATAACTGTCCCTTCATGGCTTCTGTCAGCATTGATGAGAACTGTGGTGCTGCAGTTGTTAGATCAAACCAACCTTCTATTTCTCTGAAGACTGAAAATCCAATCAGTTGACTTGTGACACTGCACAGCATCCCCATTTGGTCATGAAACAGATTCACACTCTAGTGGGAAGCCCTACAATTGCTGAAAAGCTTTGGGCCTCGATGGACAGTGAATGTGAAGCTGTACCTGGAGATGGGGTAGATGAGCCCTTCACAAACGTGAAAGGAGAAAGCACAAGAGAAACCCTGGCAGAAAGAGTCGTGGTACCAACCACATCCCCTCGTGGACTTCCCAGTCGCACACCCTGTGCTGTGTTTGCTCACTGCGTTCAGCGCGTTCCCCCATCTCCCTTACAGCACGGGTCTGCGTAGACAGTGAGGCGCTGGACCAGCCCGTTTCTGTTCAGGTACGGTGCCCATTTCTCCAGTTTTGCTTCCTTGTACAGGATCACCTTCCTCCCCTGGGGACTGCGGGTCTCAAATTCTGCAGTGACAAGAAGGGTGTCAGAAAGACCGATTCCCTTGTGCTCCAGAAAAAGAAATTCAAGTGGGAGAAATTTATGATCTAAGGGGATCCATGCATTGCTAGTTTGCATTCAGCTGTTGGTGAAGCTGTTAGACCCTGCCTGTTGTGCTTTAACATTACAACAGTGACTAATAACTCTTTTGTCTTGTACAATGGATATTAGGTAATGCATCCATGGCAGTCCCTTGTACACAATGCTATCAGAAAGCCCATGCCAGGTGGGGGGATTTTCCACCAAGAATGAGAAGGCGTGCTGAGTGCACTCAAATCATTAGTTGTTGCATGCCTTGATATACTGCAGTCACTGCTGTACCTTGTCCATCCTGAAGAGAGGACTCTTGAGTGAGATAAATGAAATCTCCCTTTTCCACTAAAAGCTTTCTCGGAGTTAAGCAAAAAGGAAAGGAAAAGTAAGTACCTTTGGGAGATATCTGAATGGGGGCCACCCAGGATGGTGGCATGTCAAACCTCCTGTCTTCCTCCTCCTTTCCCTGCTGAAACAGAAGCAGAGATTTCCACTAATTGGCAGCTCCTCTTAATGTGCCAAGAGCAATTTTTGAGTCTTGGCAATGCTGGGCTGCGATTAAACCGCAGCTCATGCGAGGCTGAGCTGGTCATGAGCAACACAGTGGTACAGTTAGGAGAGAGTTACGTCAGCCACACACGCAGCCCGAGGACAGCAGCAAGCAGCACACTGTGGTTTACATGAAAGGGGAGCTTTATTGCATCCCCATCCAGTCACTAGCACCTCCTGACCTCAGCCTAAAGAAATGGCCTTCTCGTGGTGCACAGTCACGCTGGACCAGGGATGAATGTGACTGTCATCATTTGAACCAATGTCCAGTTTATTGTATATAGCCCATGGAAAGCGCTTTGCTCCTTGGAGATGGGCATGGGCTTAGGCGATTAGATAACAAGGGAGAATGTGCTGTTATCAGTGTTTCCCTGTCCTGCTGTGCTGGTGCAATGCCTGCACTATCAGGCTGTGTTCTCCCACCAGGAGAACACAGCATTTTTTTTCTTTTAGCATACAACATTTTTGGTGTATCAGAATACATATATATATGTATTATTTCTACATTCTGCTGACTACTCTAACAAGCAGCCAGGAGAACAGGGCGCTGACTGGCAGAGAAAAATCCAGGAAAAACATCCATTTGGATTTTATTTTGTGAAAATTCTTTCACGATAACATTCAGCACACTGCAGTTTGGGCGTTAACCCCAGATAGGTTTTTCTGGGCTACCAGAACTCAGCAGACTACAGAGATCTGCAGCCACTTAGAACGTTGCACATAGTGACTATGGGACAGGGTGTGACTAGCACTTCGGGGACCCACTTCAAAAACCACCAGAACTATTCGAGCTTGAGAAAAAAAATGTGCCCTCCAAAACCTAGCTAAAGCAATTCTGATCTAGCCTGGAGAGGGCAGCAGGCACACAGACACATGGGCCACAAGCACACACTAGTTCCCTACCACATCTCCACTCTGTGGTCTGGATCACTTACCGCATTGTCCATATCCCTGTCAAGCAACTCTTCTTCTTCCTCAACATCTGGGAGCAGCAGATGAGGCTTGTCGGTTCCTAACAGCATGAATTCCCAGCGGATAGAATCGCCCAAGTCAAAGATGAGATCCTAGGCCGTACAGAAGAAACCCACTTAGCTACAGAGATCTCCCCACTCTGGAGGCTAAGGCCAAGGACCTGACACTAAACTGAACGCTGCTCCTGTACATGATGTGCTCTGGTCCTGGCTGGTGCCAGAAAGTTGAAGGACTCCAGACAAACCCTGGATCTCAGCAAGGTGGACTTGTCAGACGCCTGGCTGGCTAGTGGGACCCTGAAGGCTGCCTGCATGACAGGAAAGCAGCAGGCCCCTTTCCTCCAAGTGCTACTTGGAGAAAACTACTGCAGCACAACAGGCCTTTGGGTTTAGCAGGAGTGATCCTTGTCTGCTAGCTCAGCGTTTGGGATATGATGGATTAGCTGCAGATACAGCAGCTAGAGTCTGTGTGACCAGAGCCAAGGCAGGGGGATGCATAGTGGAAGCCTAGGCTGCCATGGATCTCAACTTTTCCAGGACTCAGGTTAACCCAAGTGGACGTTGGTGCAGGGTTCTTCAAGGGGTGGTTACCTTGCAGCCGTTCGAGCAGTCCTGCATGTTCACCCAGTAGTTCCTGTGGTTCCAGACACTCTCAATACCAAGGAATTGCTCATCCATGGGGCTGTGGCTGTTTCCCGTGAAGGGGTTGATGAAGAAGGTCTCTGGAACCTCCCTCTTCCCCGACAGAACCAAGACCCACGCATGCACCCTTAAGCCATACAAAGGGTCACGCTTGGGTTTTTCCATTTCCTGTAGTACGGAGGACAGAGCAGTAGTTATTCCTATTTTAATACACTCCCAAAATGACCATATTCTTTTCTGCCCACTTCTAACGATCTTCAGATGCTTAACACTCTTCAAAGCACGATGCGGTACCGACCCGGGGTATATTCATATACCATCTCACACTGTGCTACTGCAGACCAAACGCTCACGGCCAAGGTCATGGTTGTTCCGTACCTCAAGGGGGAAGGGTGATGAGCTGCCTTCTTGGATCAGCTCACCCATTGCTCCTGGACTTTCAGGGTAGGGTAGACCTTGCTCAACTCACCATGGCTTTCGCCTCTTCTTTCCTTTCCACTTTCTCTCTGGCAGCTGCAGTTTCTGCCTCCTTCTTAGCCTTCTGCTGAAGCTCAAACTTGCTCTGCAGGTCTGGGGGAGGCTTAACTCTGTACTTGCTGGACTTCTTCTCTCCCTCTTTTGGAACCTGTCTCAATGAAAGCTGGGTATTACTGTGAAACCCAGCAGAGATGAAGGGAAAGGAGAAAACATGACTTGCAGGTGCCTTGTGGTTCCTGACCTTTGGCAGTCTGAAGTATTGTCCTGGTGAGTCAGGAGTTCAGTGAAACCAAAGAGGCCTCTTAAGAAACCATGGAAGACCACTCAAAAGATGCCTTTGGTGAGGACCCTCCTTGGTACTTGCTGAAATCCAGTGTATATCTAAAGTGTTCCAGGTAGCCTGACTCCAGAGCTCACCAGCAACGGGCAGGCTGAGGATGCATTCTGCCTCCATGTACCTCAAGATCACTCATCTGGGCAGTCTGCATGGATCAAGTATGGAGGGGCCTAGTAAACCAAAATTATATCCCAGGAAGCCTAATAAGCACTCACAGAAGAGCTTCATTCTCTCTTGCAGCAAGGAAACATGGAAGACACGATGCTCCCAGTTCTTGTCCTCCTAAGCATGTTGTGGACACCACATGGCCAAAACACAGACAAGCTATGACCCTCTCAAACAGTAAAGAGGATATTGGGGGTTCGAGCCCTGCAACCTGCCCTTTGGCTCCTCCTCACTTTAGCATGGACACATAAGAGGTGGCAGCTCCCCTGGCCTTCACTGAGCTTCATCTTTCTTACCAGCGTCCTGGCTAACTAACCGGAACGATCAAGCTGGGCTCCTCCCTACCTCTTCGTGGACAGGATCCTCACCTCCGGTGGCTTCCTAAGCAGTGGGCACACCTCCAGGGTCTCATCCATGGTGCATATATTGTGGGTGGCATATCCATTCACACAGTAGGCATCATATCCAGCTCCGATCAGCATGGAGCACAGCAGCACACTGAAGTCAAAGCAGTTCCCTCGCTGGTACTTCAGGATGGTGGTTGGGGAATAGAGTGAACTGGGCTTGAAAGAGAGGGACATATGTTGTCAGTGCTTGTACTGTGAAGCTGAACCATGTCCCGGGCAGAGAGCAGGAGAAAGAGGAAGCATCGACCTCTTCTCTGAGCTCTGCACCCTTAGGGAATCTGTTATGTAAAATTCTATATAAATCCAAAGTGATTGCTTCCACTATGTAAAATTTCTACAGAAGTGACCACTTCCACAGACCACAAATGTCCCTTCCAAAATAATCCAGGGAGATTCCCATTTCACCCTAAATCTGGTGACAAATTTGACTACAGGAAGAGATGGGCAGGACAAAACAAACTAGGCAGACTGCTGAGAAACTAATGCAAACCACAACTCAAGGGTGGAGCTCACCTCCATCTCTAGCTAGCAAATAACTGCAGAATTTCAAAGCAAAGGACCCATAAGCCAAATGATAGTTTAAAGGAGGGAACATATTCCCTTCTGGCTTGTATTGGTGTCCAGGCAAAGCATGGGATCAATATGCACATAGTGCACATACAGAGATTCTACATATGGAGTTTACTGCCAGGTCTCACTACACTTCAGGTGTTCAGGACAGTTTCTATCTGCTAAATAGGGACATGCTTTCTATGCTAGAATTTCCTTTGGACTCTAGGACTCTGGGGACACACTTGTCCCACACAGTGTTTGTGCAGGCTGTGTGGGGCTCTAGGCAAGACACCAGCACTCCTTGCTTGCAAAGAGCGTGGCTCTTTGCTTTAGTTGATTCACACCAGTCAAAAACTTGCCCTTGTTCTGGCACCATCCCTTCTTCCCACTCTAGAACACTCCCTTGAGCCACTTCAAGATACTCCATGGTTGAGACAGAAATGGGTAATGCCCCTACAAACTGGTCAGTGAGGTCTAGAATCTCCTAGCTTTCATATGCTCCTTCTCTCTAAGACCTCTAGGTCCTAGAGGGAAAGCTTGGCTGCCATTGCAACCCATTGCAAACCTGTTGGTCATCTGGGATAACAGAGAGCAGTCAGGCCCAGTCTTAGAGGAATGGTGCTTAACTGTTTGACATGGACAACAATGTGCATGAAGTGGGAATCTTGGTCCAAATAGAGCACATGTGGTCTGGGAGAGTCAGGGGTTGACCAAAGTATGGAGAGGATGTTGGAGGGGCCAAAGCCCACCGTAAGCCCTGGTCCTTAGTTTCCTATGTGGTGTCCAGCTGAGAAGCCCTGCTACTGCATTGGTCATGGGGTTATTTCTGATGGAACCACAGCCCCTCTCTTACTGGTGCGATAGGGGACTTGAGGGGCTCCATGGTAAGGTAATCAGAGACGAAGCTGGCACAGCCTTCCCAGTGGTACAGCTCAGTATAAGGCAGCAGGGTTGGTCTCACCGTTGTGCTCACAAACTTCTATAAGGCAACAAGATGACTTTGGTTAGCCAGCAGACTCCTGTCCTCTGCCTGAAGCTACCCTTAGACCACCCCTGGATGGTGCAGCTCATGCTCAGGACATCCCAAGTTGTATCAACAATATTGTTAGCCCTCCTCATCTATTCTGAGATGGAAAATGCTTGGGGTTGAGATGCCATCTGCAAGGATACTTCTGGGTTTTTTTTTTTTTCTCCTGTGGCTAAATATTCAAACTCATCTCCTTCACATTACAGATGCAAATAATTTCTGCTCTAAGTTTTCAAGACAAATAGCTACTGCTCTTTCCAGCTTCTACACTCTGTGACATTTTGCCTTACACAAATGTTGAGGGAAGTTGATCCAAAGTGGCAGTTTCACATGCCCAGTGGAGTATCAGATCCAAAACTAGACAGCAACTGTGCAGCTTGAACCCCGTCCTATAACAAATCCAAACCACAAACCTTCACATGTGAATCTGTCCCATATAAATTCTGGAAAACTTGGAATATGACCAGATTCTGGATTCTATGCATCTGAGCCTCAGCCCAGCTAGAAACTCATCTATGTTTCTGTTATTTTCCTTCTTTATGGTTCTGTTTCCTGACTGTGTGGCACTAATCAAAGCTGATTGCCCCCATGCTGTGACCCAGCCCCTACCTCTATGCCACACTCATTGACCGGGTGAAGGAGAAGCGGTTCGCGGTCAGGGCACAGATGGGCGTACTGCTGAAGGAAGTTGTCAGCAATCCGTAGCAGCCTCTTTTCCTTTGGGGAATTTGTCTTATAGGAAGATGGCAACTGGGATGTGTCAACAGAGCTCCAGTCAAATTCACTTCATGGGCAGAAGGAGATAGAGACACACAGGTAATGAGCAGAATGTGATTCAGGAAAGATGACCTGCTGTCAAACACAGCAGGGATTCCCTGTTTCCCAGGGGAAATGGGGAACCATAGGCAAAGAGGCACAATTTGAAGGGTGAAGATGTCACATCCAGGCTTTCCTAGTGCGATGGCAAGTTGACATACACCCAGAGGCTTGGGGGATTTTTGAGTGAACAGTTGGGGAAAAAAAAAACCAAAAGCGTCATCATCTTACACACGTGCCCACTTGCAGGAAAACACATTTTGGGATAGCAGGCACACAAACTCGCTCACTGCTTGCACCCCTGCACAAGGGGACCACAGGCCACTCACACATGTGCAACAGCCTGCCCCAAAATGTTCCCATTCCCACAGCCTGCCAAGGGACATCGCCTACTCATCACCATAAGGGACAAGCATTGACTTACGGTACATCATTTGGGGCACAGGCTTGATCTGCAGACAGTGTCCTCTCCCCGTCGTGTCTTTCCTCAACGACCTCCAGAGCTTTCAGCTCTTTTTCCTCTCTCTGCTCCTCTTCCTTGTTCTCTTTCAGGACCTCCATCCTGCGTCCTCAAGGGCACTGGAAAAAAAGGGAAATTTGGGAGGGGGACCCAACACAGAGCAACCCCAAAACACCCCCAAATCCAGGGCTGAGTTGTGCGAGTATAGCCAAGGAAGCCGCCAGCATGACGCACGTTCCCAGAAACGGGGAAGAAATCCCGGCTACAGCTGGGCTCCCAAAGGATACATGGCCGAGAGGTGCTGCCTGGGCAACCAGGGGGCTGCATAAGGGCCCTTTTGCACAGGGTCCTTGCCTCTAGCTGGGACCACCACTTTGGGGAAGCTGTGCCACAAGGACCTCGGGTGCCTTCCGAAACACTTGTGCGCTTTTACCTTTGCTACGATACCGCTGCACGTGCCCAGGTCACCCAGCTCTTCACCCCCAGTCCCCGTGCAGAGGAAGACAGGTTTTGCAGCAGAATAAAGAGCACAAGAGCCACAGGGTTGCTCCAAGGACGGGGCTCGGTACTGCAGTTAGCTCGGAGGCTGTTTTGGGCCCCCAGCTTGCGGTCACGCTGACCCCGGCGCACAGGAGATAGCGCCTGCGAACGGCGCCGCAGACCTTGGTGCTATCGGGCCGTGCCGGGGGCGGAAACGCGCCCGGCGCAGAGGGAGGGAGCGGCAGGACAGCAGCTCCCCACAGCCCCCAAGGACGGCGGGGACGCACCGGGGGGCCTGAGCGCAGCCACCGCCGCCTCGCGGGGCCACCCAGCCCCTTCCTCCTGCCGCCCGCGGCGTTGAGGTGGCAACGGCCACCGCGGACCCGCTGCCTCAACCAGGCCGCAAGCCACCCCGGCCACCCGCCTCCTCAGGGCACCCAGGAGCAGCCACCTGCAGCCAGGGTGACCCCCAGTCCAGGGGCTTCCTTGAGGCACCTTGGCCTCAGCCACTCCCAGCAGGCCCTCGACTCCGATTTTTGTGTAAAACAAGTCAGAAACAGGCAAAAGCCATGAGGACATGTCCCCTGGAGAGGTCGCAGTCACAAACGTGGTGTCCCAAGCATGGAGCAAACAGCCCTGATCCCACCATGCCTGCTCATCAGGCCCTCCAAGATTATAGGGCTGCCTTTAAACTCATGAGATTTACTCATTAAAAAAAAAAAAGAAAAAGAAAACCCACATTCGTCAGCGTTTTTGCAGCTAAGCCCACAAGCTGTGCTAGCTTTGCACCTTCGAACCGTTGCATGCAAGTGTCAGTGCTGGCTAATTCCTCTGTAAAAACATCTAATGCAAAGCAGAGCTTCTCATCTGGCAATGAGGACACACAGGGGACTTTTCTTTTGGTTTTAATTATTAGTTCATGAAACCCTCAGCTGGGTTAGGTTCTGAACACTGTTTTGTTTTCTGGTTTTCATCGTGGTTAGGAAAAAAAAATGTATCTGGCTGGCAATATATTTTTGTAGTTGCTATTCTCTTGGTTGTTGTAATTAAAGCTCTGGGGGTGCACCGAGCATGGCAAGCCAAGCAATACAAATAGTGCAAAGAGAGGCAAAGCTGTAGTTAGGCTGCTTTGAATTATTTGCATTTGAACGTTTGCCATACCCAGCAGTACCCTAGTTGCTAGAAAACATCAAGAGTCATCGCTATGAGTGGCTGCTCTTCCGTGTGTATATGGGAAATGACCTGCAATAAGAGTGCTAGGAGTAAGCCCTTATCCCTGTGTGTGTCTCAGTATTTCTCTCCAGCTTTTACATTTCAGAAGCTATTAGAAACCAACCCAAGCAAACATGCATTCACTCACTAAACCACGTGCATTTAGTATACACAATTATTTGGCTTTCTGTGCTGCTGCAGTATCTCATGTTATTGTCGAGCACAAAACAGCTACCGTAAAACCACTGGGATGCATAAAAATCCAGACTCCCAAGCAAACTGCAAGCACCTCTCCTGTGTGGCATCCACCCACCTACGTGGATGTTCAGGAGTTCTGAGCAGATAGGGAGGGCTGTGCACAATGATGAGCGTTGAGACCTTTTTCCTCCCCGGCCATGGCTGAAGGATGCTAGGGCAGCTCTTGTGCAATCACAAATGGATGTTTGCGTGGGGGAGCAGGATGAGCTGACGGAAGGCAATATAAGGAGCGCGTCAGGGAGAACGTGAAGGACCCGTGGGCACTTGTGGGTGGCTGAGCATAGACTGGCCTGGCAATGGTAAGTAGAACGGCAACGGGCAAAATCTTTCTGTTGAGGATGCTGGTGGGATCTCATCACTGCTTAGAGCCACAGATTTTTTTTTTTTTCCTAGCAAGTGGCTTGCAAGGAGACAGCACCTCCCGTCTCATCTAAGCAGTTGAGAAGTTTTTAAATTTGTCTGTGTCCTCACACTGAGCTGGAGATGAAAGAGGTCACTAACCCCTCAAGGGGACTCTTTGCCCAGTCCTTTCCCCCTGCGCAAAAAGGCAGGGCCAGTCTGGAGCACCCCTAGCTGCATAAAAATCTTGGCAACGGGAGTCACTCTTCCACTAGCATTTCAGGGGCTCTGCTTTAGGATTCATGCCCCACTTGAAAGATGCTTTTGCCTAGTGTTCTGGATCTTCAGAACTTTGCAAAAGAGGTAGTGCTTACTTTATTTATTTATTTATTTATTATTTAAAGCTGCTTGCTATAGGCTGCAGCTATGTATAAATTTTTGCTGCCAAATTGAGGTTTTTGCTCTTTGCTTTGCCCAAATGCACATGCAAAGTGCCAGGAGCAAAGACAGGTCAAAGTGCTGCTGTAGTCACCAGCCCACACTGACTCATATCCCTTTTTGCGATAAGAGGACTCCAAGCTCGAAGACTCGTACAGCACCACACCATTTTTTGTAAAGAAACCCGTTATCTGACCTAGCAGGGGAGATCTGTTGGGCAGGGAGTGTAACTTCACTTACATTATCTGTATCTTTGTGGCATACATTTCAGTTGTGTTCAAGATATTTTTTAAAAAATTACATTGTCTCCCTTGTTCAGGTCATGGAAAAGAGGCACTGGAAAAGCCAGGATCCTCTTGAAAATTCTAACTCTTCAAACGAGAGCTATAGCTGTGGTGAGGAGAGTGGAAAACTCATTTCCTCTTTCAGAGGCCTGGACTGATGCCTCCACTCTGTGGTTTTGTTCGAAGTGCTGTTTCATGCCCAAATACAGCTCTATCTTTGGGATGTGCTAACCTGAAATCTATTTTCTCTCACCCATGTTTTCTTTCTGGATTGGCCCCTTGGGGTTCAGCTCTTCACCTTCTAAATTCAGGACAATATTTGGCCTCTATCTTATCCTGGTGGACAGAGCAAGGGGTTTTGCTGATCTGGCAACATGGCTTTATGTGGCTGAACCTATAGCTATTATAGAAATCATTGCACCCATGCTTGAGGGCTGGCTCTTTCTGGATGTTTAAAAACATCTCCAGGGAGCATGCAAAAAAAATGGCATAATCTGCTTCTTTTCACAGGACGGGGCTGTGACATATTTGCTGCTGCTCTCTACCCTCTGCCTGGCTGGCTCTGAAGGCAACAAGAGTGAGTCTATACTGTCCCCGTGACATTATGGCCAAGCAGTGTGGGAAGAAGAGGTGAAAACCTTACCTGATCCACGCTCAGGTTGCTCATTCAGGACAGCAGAGTGTTGCTCAGGAGGGCAGGAACTGGGAAGCCAGGGCTGACAAAATACGCAAAGCCTCAGGTGCTCCTTCCCAGCCTAAAGCTTCCCTTTCCCGGCTTGCGCTTTTAGACAGGGTCTAAAATCCATGCCAGTGGGCACGGTGACATGCCACCAATCTGTGACAACCCATAACAAGCTCCATAGCTCTGATCCAGATTACAGAAACAAGGGAATCTGGGTGTGCTGAGGTCTGCCGAGCTTCCCAACACACAAATGTCCTTCTGGGCAAGCCGAGTTGGGAGGTTCTTCCTCAGCTGCGATAGCAGAGTGGCCACGTGCCCCTGCAGTGCCTAGAAGCAAGGATCTCCAGCAGGCAGGAGAAAAAGCTGCAGGGAGTTCCAGCTACTGCGTCTCGCAGGGTAAATAACCTCGCTGCATTTCAACTTCCTCATGTTGCTTTTGCTACAGCCACACCAATGAGCCTGGGTGGCAGAAGGGAACAGTTTGCCATCCTCTTCAAGAGGAGCCTGGATGCCTGCTTCCCAAATCCATGCCAGCACCACGGGGATTGCCAGGTGATGGAGGACCGACCCATTTGCAACTGCAAGCCAGGCTTCACAGGGGCATTCTGCCAAGGTAGGCCAGGGGCTGGGGATGCTGCTGAGCCCTTCCCACTGTCCACAAGCACAAAGGGATGGGTGGAGGTGAGGATGCACTGGTGTTATCACTGTTCCTGGTCAAATGTGGGTCCTGGTCCAAGTGCATGCCTTCGCACCATGTCCTGATTGCAGACTGGTACAAGCACCAGCCATTCCCCTCCTCCTCAAAAGTCTGAATTCCTGTATGAAGGAAACCTGGGCTGTCAAGAAGGTGTGGTGGCTGTGCCAGGACATCAGAGGCTGGTAGCCTTGTAGGCTCTCCATAACCAAATGGACTCTAGCAGGCATGGTGAAGGCTACTTCCAGATGCTGCTCAGAAGTGCTCTTGTTCATCTGAAGCAGAGGATTGTGTCTGGTTTCCATGGCAGACTGCAGTGATTTTGTAGACAGCCCACGTAGAGGGGAAAACCTCTTCATCTGATGCCTTGAGTTTAAGGATGGTATGTATTCAGAGTAACAGTAACTGGACCTGTGCAGGCCTTAGACAACAAGTGGGAAAGGTCAGAGCCCCATTAATTTCTGCAGATTCCCAAAGATTTGTCTTTTGCTTCTGTCCAGTGTTTCTGAAGGCCCCAACAGCAGCCTCCAACAAGACTAGAATGAAGGTCTCTTGAGCTTTGTGGGACTGTTCCACTCCATAGCAGACCTAGGGCTCCTTCAGGCCTCTTCCTTATTGCTATTGCAGATGGCTTTTTCCCCCAGATGTGATACTGAAGTTGGCTTGCGAGGAAGAGCACATGAAGATGATGGTGAGGAAAGAGGTGTTTGAACTCTTGAAAATCCCCCAGGAGCATGTCCACTTGAAGAACCAGGCATGCAAGATCTCAGAAAGAGAAGAAGAGGGTGAGCTGTTCTTTGCAGCCATTCTCACAGGTGAAAACCACACTGCCTGTGGATCGGTGATTCAGGTGAGACTGCAGCACAGAGCCTGTCTGCATAACCTGGATTAGGATGCGAGATGAGCAGCCCTGCTGAGTAGGGACAGCAAAAGAAAATGCTGGTGGCTTTTCCTTTTATCTCAAGGGCTTCAAAGCCCTTGGAACATTCCTATGAGGGCTATCAGAAGGCTTCTCTACATCTGCTAAACTGCTGCTGGCAGTGCATCTTTCCCTGTTCAGAAGAGCATGGAAGTCTCAAGGTGCTCTTTAACAGATGACAACAGGCCTTAGCTTTATCACAGCATCTTCTGAACTCTACAGTCCTGGCTATAGTGCCCTGATCCCTTCCTTAATCCTTCAGAGCACATTGTCACGGCTGGGACTGTCACTTGGCAGGAGATGGGTTTGACAGAGCCAGTTATACAAAGAGAAAAGTCCTTGAACTGCCCTTTACTGGGGCAGTGGATCCCTCTGAAGGCTTCTCAAGTTCAGGTTTCCCTAGGTCACCTACCATGTTCCTCACAGGCCCAGGATGATACAGGGAAACCAGTGCTCCACCTGTGCCCCATAGGAAAGCTGCCTTACCTGGTTTCTCTATCCTGACTACTCCAATGAAGGCTTCCTGGACATACAGTTTAAGCATGAAAAATCCCAATAGACACTCAGAAGGCCTGGAGCAGAAAGTGCTCAGCTATTTTCTGATGAATGTACTCAGTGAATCCTCAAGAAGTTGCAGCCCTGTCTGAACTTGAAGCTTTGTGTACGGTTTAAAAGTGATCTGGGGATTCACCTTCTGTGTCATTTCAGCAAAACAGCTCCCACGTGTCATACTCCAATGTCATCGAGTCCGAGCGAAAAGCACACAGGGGTGTGATCTCCCGAAGTTTTCAGCTGGAGGTCCATTTTGACTGCATCTATGCCTACGAGCAGGTGGTGAAAGTGCCCTTTGCTCTCACTGCCATCGACAAGTGAGTGCTTTTTCTTACCTTGCCTTTGACACGATATCTTCTGGCCTGTGGGAAAACAGATGCCTTCAATGAGTCCAAGGCCCTGGGGTGGCAGTAAGGAGCTCTGTGAGGAATATTGCAGCAAGGATCCTCCCTCCTCTCATCGCAGAGAGCTCAGGACCAGGCTATCAGTGAGGCAGTGGGGCTCTATTTAGGAGGGAAGCCAGCAGAGAAACTTCCCCCTATAAAGAGAGAGCACATGCAGGACCTTCATCTATGCTGGTGGCTTGGCTTGTGCTAGTCCATGCTATCTTATTCTGTTCATGAGGTCTCTGCTCCTCTCCTCAGGCTGGTGCAGTTTGTAGTCAAAGAAGGGCACTTCAATGTGACCATGAGACTGTACAAGACACCCTCCTACCTCCAGCCCTATCACCACGAGACTGCAGCCATCCCCATCACAGACACAATCTATGTCTTGCTGAAGATAGAAGGGCAGCACCAGCTCAGGTACTTCCTCCTGAGTGTTGAGGACTGCTGGGCAACACCAACTTCAGATCCTTACCAGGATGTGCGGCATGATCTCATTGAGAAAGGGTGAGTGGTGTCTCTCTAGTTACGGAAACACAGGGAGCCAAGGCCATCCCTGTGCATGCTGAGACAGGAATACTGCTGTGAGGCTCTGCGTGGGGGTTGTACCTTGTGCCTGTGTACTCTGGCACAAGGTTGAGCTATCAGTAGCCCAGGCTGGGTGCTCTCTCTCATTTCTAAGCCGTCATGTCCCAGGTGTCCCCACGATGAGACAGTGACATACCTCAACGCCATTGGAGAGAGCACTACGGCCAAGTTCAGCTTTCAGATGTTTCAATTCATTGGTTACTCAGAGGTGTTCCTGCACTGCCGTGTCCGGCTGTGTCTCCCAGACAGCCTGGAGCCCTGTGCCAAGGTGAGCATTCCCTGCTGTCTGCACTGTGCCCTGGACGGGGAAACCACCCTTCTCTTGGCTTCTGTTTGGAGAAAGAGCTCTGCTCTGGCCTCAGGCACCCCAGTACAATAAACACTACCCAGCAAAAGGAGCTCAATACATGGCCCTTAACTAAAGTGGCAAGGGCTTAAATCCACGGGTGGGTCCCTTTCCCTTTTTCTTTCCTTTCCATTAGGTACTAAAATTTCCAGTCCTTTATACTGGGACTTGGAGGAGGACCAGACTGAGGTCCCTTTTCGTGCTCTGGGATATTGACTCTTCCCAAGCAGAAGCACCAAACTGCCTCCTCCAGGAGGAGAGCGTCAGGACAGACCATCCTCTTACCTGGCTCATTCAGCCAGCTTCTCCTCTGCCCTCTGGTCCCATCTCCCTTCCCTTTGTTGACAGCAATGCCCAGGGCACCCAAAGAGCAAGCGGGCGCTGGCCGATGACTACAATAAGATTGTCTCCTATGGGCCCATCCACCTGCTGGCTGCTCCCTCCCCAAGAGCACAGACCCTCATCTCTAAGACTGAGCAGAAGGGCTCAGGGGGTATGTATATTCTCTTCTTCCCTGGTTGGACAGCTCAAAAACCCTTGAGAGTTCTAAGTAATGTCACATTACCTAAGAAAGCTGATAAAAAGTCACTGTTCTGCACAGGAGCAGAGAGCCCTTTAGGTATTACTGCCAAGCTCCAGCAGCCAGACAAACAGAGAGAGACTAGCGTTGCATGAGCTGCTGCCAGATGAGACATAGGAGAGGCTGAGCATGAGAGCAGGGCTGGAAGGGATCAAAAATGATAGGTACTGCACCTGGCATGATGAAGGCTGCTTTTTCAACTTCAGCATCAAGCCAGGCTCCTTCTAGGAACTCAGGTCAATCCAGGAAAGCCAAACAGCAATCCAGGAATAGGACTGGCAACAAGTCCACCTACAATACAGCTAAGAAAAAAAGAGCAAAGACCAGGACTTGAGCTTAAATAGAGCCAGTGGGCAGAGGGTGGGTGTGGAGGCCCCAGGTGAGGCCGGTCAGGGCAGCTGAGGTCTATTAGTGCCCCCAGGGCCCTGGCAGTCCTCCAGCCCCAGAATCTCTCACCCAGCACAGGAGATGAGACCCTTCCCCTGACTCCTGTCTCAAAATTCCCACCAGCTGGGAGATGCCATATCTCCAGCCACGGTCTCCTGAAGAGATCAAGATACATAACAAACGTTTCTTCTCTTTGGCAGGACCCGGTATGTGGCTTCCTGGGGCCCTAGTTCTGCTGTGTGTGCTTGGTGTGTTCACTGTGACTGCTGTAGTCATCACCATGAAGAGACGAACGATCTAGAAAATCGCTGTTTCCAAATAAACATGGCAACAGCAAGTCGTCCACCCTGACTGCTTCTTAGCAAGGATTTGGGGGAAGAAGACCATGGCTATTTTCCAAGGGTGCTCAAAGGATGAACCACGTCAATGTGTTTTGTTCCCTGTAGTATCCCTAGCACCTTCTTGTCCTCTCCTGGCCCATCCTGACTAGATTTGAAATGTCCCTGGGAAAATTAAGGGACAGGGTCAGAACCAGGGGCAAAAGCAGAGCTTGATGATGCTCTGTAGGGCTCCATCTAGCTAGTGTGGGATTGTGGGATGCAGTAGCTGTTTTTCCCCAGGGTCCTTCTTACACTGGGAGGATGGTGGGTTTTGGAAGTAGTAATCATCTCAGCTCAGAGCAGGGGAACAGGAGATTTCTAAAGTAGCTTCATTTGTAAAAAATGAATTTCCAGAATCCTTGAATACAGGGGAGAGCTCTTCCTCCCTGTTTTTTCCTATCTGGAAAGAATGGTCTAGAAATGTGGGGAGCTTGAAGTGTTCACATTAGCTATTTGCCCACAAAAATTCCACTTTGCTTAGTTCTTGGTGCACAGATCATGTAGCATTAGCACAGAGATAGCGCTGCTCTGAACATGTCTCTATGTGTGTATTTACTCCTTCTGAATGACAGCAAGTGGACTTATAGATAGAAAGATTTTTGCACATCCTTAAAATAAAGAAAATAATTTTTGTTGGCTTGTAACCGTCAAAAACTAAGTTCACAGTGCTCAGAGAGCTGATAGAGATTTAATATTAAAGCACAAATACAGAAGAGAGCTGTTTTGTTTGGCAAGATGTGTCTATGTGCGGGTGCGAAGGCGCAGCTCGGAGGAGCAGCCGGCTGCACGCGCAGGAGCTGCGGCTGCCTCGCGTGCGAGGCACTGAACTGAGACATCCTCCTGAGATCATTCCTAGCTGCAGGAGACATCTCGCAGGATGGAAGCACAGCAGCCCTTGCGCTGGCAAGCACAGAGTAGCCCTTGCTCCAACGGAGTCCGTCACGGTGCATTTTGAAGCTGAGGAGTCCGGGTACAGCAGTAAGGGCAGTCTCCAGGCTGGACCAGTGGGAATGGCAGCCAAAGCAGAGAGCCCTGCCACGGGGGCTCGCTCCACAGATGGAGGCACGGGTGAGGGTCCTGCAGCCACGGCCCTCCGAAGGGAAGCGACGTCCCTTAGGAGAGCAGCTTGCTTGCGGGGGTGCTCCCAAAGGCAGGGAGGGACATCTGGCCAACAGCTAATCCTGGGAAACACTTGTGTTTTTGTCGTTTCTGATGGTGTTGGAGGAGGAGCCAGCTATTTCCTCTTTCTTTGGATAGTACAGCACAACCAGCCAGATGAATATGAAGAGACCTGTAGAGAAAGGGAGAGAGACACCCCAAAGATCATGAGCAGTGAGAGAGGGTGGACACTATCCTGCTGGGAAGCTCACGGGCCCCTGTGGGATGGACATGACCCTGATCCAGCTTATTCTCTGCCAGTACCTTTGCAGAAAACAGCTTTGAGCTCATTGCTGCTAATTCCAGGAGGATT